AGCACAGCTAAAACTACACCTGATTCTTTTTTAGGGCCCATTCACACCACATCATCACCAGACCAGACCAGATTGTTTCTGGACCCAAAATGCATTCTAATGTATCCATATGCTATTTCTGGCCTATGTTCACACCAGCGCAGTCCGTTCCAGACCAGACCAGAAAAATACTGCACGTCTTATTTTGTCTGGTCTGGTATGCTCTGGAACTGCGGGCAGGTTCACAACATTTTCCGGACCAGATCTGGTCCGGAAAATGTTGTGAACCTGCCCTTAGGAAAGCAACACATGGCATCAAATGGTAGTTCAAATGAATGGCACCACAGTGCACCAAGACACGTAATGTACATTACTGCAAGGGAGAGAAGTAAACCTAACCTTAAAAATACTCTAGCCAAAACTTTTTTTTCCATGAGTAGCGAAGGGTTAGAACCTCTGTCGCTTACTGTGTCCTACTAAGGGTTTTGCATTGAAATTCATTAAAATGCATGCAAGCCCACATTGATGTATGTTGCAATGGACTTTGCACTTCAAATCAAGGCATCTAAAAATGTGTATTACAATGTGCATTGACATGCATTTCCATTAACTGCAAAGGAAGTGCGTTTGTGTAAAAATTGACAAGTGTGATAGAAGCCTAAATACTGTCCCCATAGAGGATATTCCATTTCACTTCATTTTCTGCTTCACATTTGTCACATCTACACGTTACTATAACACGCGGTAACAAACCGTGTGATGCATTCACTTTGAATGTCACCCCAGCGCATCCACAGACACCACCTACTCAGCAACCAGAACGCACAAAATGCAAAAATCTGCCTTTATTTTGTTTCAAAATAACTTTGTCATGCTTTTACTAGAAATGTTGTTTTGGTGTCAAAAAATATGGCAAACTACAGAGCAAAAGACACACTTTGTATGTGTGTGTAGTTACACACTTTGTATGTAACTTTGCATATTTACTATAGTAAAGTTGTTTTTTTAAATGACCATTAGTTATCATTGAAGCCAAACGTAAGTAAAAAAAAAAAAGTAAAATCAGAACTGTGTCTTTATTTAAACATTTGTTCACCTTGCAGAGTCTTCTTTTGCAGTGCTTCATTGCAGACTGCAGAAATCAGGGCCAACAAGTAATGTAATAACAGGGACATTCTATAACAATGGAGAAAAGAAAACATGGGGGTGTATCCCACAGCAGCCAGACTCCTACTGTCGTTTTCTAACCTACTACAGAAAAATGCCAGCTGAAATCTGACCGATTACTGTGGGTAACACCTCCAGTTTTCACTTCAGCAAACATCCTGTGGGGGTGATTCATGAAAGCTGAAAAGAGGAGGATATTCAGAAGTTGCCTGTATGAACCACACTGTGGATGATTTTTTTTTACTTGTGTAGATTAAACATAAAAATGATCTTACTGGCTCCAATGGCAACACCTCCAGTTTTGTTTTTTCTTTCTGTATCACTTCCTACTTAAGGTTATTTCAGTGAGATAAAATAAAGGAATGTGTACTGTACAATGCAACGAGTCCACAAAGTGCATCATGGACTGGACAGGGCTGTGTGACAGAGTAAAAGAGGTTGTGGCTGTATTTGAAAAATAGAATATTTTACACTTTTCAGTACACATTTGTGTTGACTGGTATATGGAAAACCAACATGCTTGTGTGGTATGCAAAGCTATTATGCGACACGTTTACTTACAGTGAATGAAAGTAAGGGAATTCCCTGGCTATTCCACAGTCCTCAGGTTAAAGTGATATTAAACATTAAAGTCAAAATGTTTTTAAGCTACTGCAAATGCCGATGAAATCACTTACAGTGGATGCTGCTTCTTGATCTTTAAAAGTTTGGGTTTCCTGCAGAGCACTGGCCCGCATATCCAAAAGCCCTCTTAAATGCACACATGCTTACCGAATCTAAACAGCACCAGAAATAGGCCCAGATATATTTGACACATTTATTATGCTTTCATATGAACCAAAATAAAGGAAACAGGATTAGGTTTATGAAGTTATACAGGGTAATTGTGGTACGCGAGTACCCAAAATGTACATACCCAAATTGATGATGTTCATGCCCTCAAGACAACTAGCTAGGCTCTCAATATAGATTTATGTGCTTAGGAAATAAATCTATATCTTTTAAACTAGAGATCCAATACATGAAAAGAGGCTAGTAATCCAAAAAACAAATTAAGAAAAAATTAAAGTGACATTAAACTCAGGGGTTAAATCTTAAAAAGTGTATTCAAGTGCCTGAACTAGGGATGCACCGATACCGTTTTTTCGTTATCGAGTACCAGTACTGATTATTTTTATTTCGTCACTCGCCAATACCGAATACTGATAGTGGCTCTAGGGAAGCCTGGCGGGGTGTGATGACTCGCCGCCCAGCTTTCTGATTAGCCATGGGGCCGCCTTTCTGGCCAATCGGGAAGATGGGGGAGCAGGTAATGACTCGCAGCTTGGCTTACTGGTTGGCCAGCTTCCCGGCCAAACAGGGAGCCGGGCAGCAAGTCATTACATGCCACCCAGCTTCCTGATTGCCCGGGAAGCTGACTCTATGCTCCCTTGTCACCAAGTGCATAGAGCCGGCTCCCCGGCCATTCAGGAAGCCGGGTGGCGTGTAATGACTCTCTGCCCAGCTTCCTGATACCAGAAGTTCCTGTATCGGGATAAAGCATCGGGAGCATTTGGGCAAGTATGAGTACTCGCCCTAATACTCAGTATCAGCAACGATACAGATACTAGTATCTGTGCATCCCTAGCCTGAACTAATAACAAAAATGTATCTTATATGTGTATCACTTGACTGTAGATCCTCAAATCATCTCTGAATTTGTGCGGACACTATCCTTCCTTCTGGGCGGGGTGGCTACATTTGTTCCCCATGGTCCCTATTTGTGTTGTAAAGTAGCTCCAAGCCTGCTCCTGTGAGGGACTACAATCTCAACACAAATTAGTAAACTGGCTACATTAAGGCCTCGTTCACACCATTCTCAGTGCTTTCCGGCCCGATTGCATTGCAGTGAATGGCATCACAGCCACGCCCTCCGGCCGCAATGCGATCGGCCGCACGGAAACGCAAGGCCTATCAATGCCTGCGGTCCGGTCTGGTCAGAAAAAATGCTGCAAGCACTATTTTTTTTTGTGTTCCCGTGCGGCCGATCGCATTGCAGCCGGAGGGCGTGGCTGCGGTGCCATTCACTTCAATGTACCGCCACGCCCCCTCCCGCAACACAACAAAGTGAGCTGGCCGCAATGCAATCCAGTGTGTTCCCGCCACAATCAGGCCGGAATGCACTGAGGATGGTGTGAATGAGGCCTAAAACACACTTAGGGATCATGGGGAACAAAAGTAGCCACCCTCTATAAGGCAGGACAGTGTCAGCACCAATTCAGGGATGATTTGAGAATCTATTGCCGAGTGATACACAAATAAGATACATTTATGTTAACAAGGTACCTGGATGCATTTTTAAGATTTAATTCCGGAGTTTAGTATCACTTTAAGATCTGAACATATTAGCTGTCTGTAGCTCAGCCCAGCTAGCAGTGATCACTAGTGTAATGGAGGACACAACACTAATTGCCAGTGTTACAGACAACTGCTAATGTGACTGGGGTACTCCAACTATCCCGGAGTTGTTGTTTTTTTTGACCATTATCATTGTAATTTATTTAATTTCATGATTTTTAATGAAAATATATTTTGTTATATAGAGGAGGAGGGTGTTAAAGAAATTATTCATTGAGGGTGTCAACTTTTTTTTGTAGTTTTGTACAGACGAAGGATTAGAACCCATGTTAGGTTTTCAGATCAGATAGATTTGCTCTTACTTACTTTCACAGTGACAACTGTTTCACTAGGCAGGAAGTGAGAAGAAATCTCGAACACCACCAGAGACAGAAATAAAATGCTTGTTTGTTTTGTAGAGTAGGGGTGGCTAGAACCCATGCCAGCATTTTTTTTTGTACATTGAAGCATTCACATCAGGTGGTTTTAAGCATTGCTAGGGGTTGGTTAATCCTGGATTTGCACCACATGCGTTGAGTTTAGCAAGCGCTGACGCAGCCCAACAGATGCGGTGTGTGGGCCCTTTTTGTCTATGTCGCTGCTGCAGACCTCACCTAACTTCTTGTCTGGTATAACTCTTGCAAGGATGTTAAATGATGGAACAATCTAAATTTCGCCACACATTACAATCTGTTTGTACAATCTCCTTTTGATCTGCCTGATTGAATGCAAATTAATTGCATTGTTTATATAGGTCCTCATATTACATACAGTTCTTTTTCAATAATCGATTATAATCGATTATGTCGATTAGTTGTTGCAGCCCTAATGTTTGGCAAACTTAAGTTGATTGTACAGTCAGGTTGTAACGTGTATGGTGTCCCTAAAAGAGCACTGAATAGATGTAAAAACCTCATAAGGATTCTAATCTTTTACCATTATATCCACAACAAACCAAAAAAGCTTTGCTGGACACTTTAAAGGAAATCTATGCTGAGGGATTTATGCAGGCTGACATGTCTGACCTCATCCAACTGAAATTGCTGATTACCTGGCTGCCATGCTAATCCAGTATTTAAAATACTTTCTGAGAAGAGTTTAAAAATGGCTTGTGTGCTACATACTTGTTCCAGGTCAGTGGTGCAGGCAACTAGTGTATTCAGGTGGTGGTGGTCAACATATAGCTCTCAACAAATTGTTCCTTTAATGAAATAATATTGAATATAGTAATTGTAACTATAACAAAGAGAATAAAGAAATCTGCACAACCGAACTCATAATTTTATGTTAGACATCAAAATACAAAGGATCATATATGGTGATATGGTTTAGGGTATTTTATACATCCTAATGCCACAAAAATAAGACAGACACCTGGCAGAACATAATATTCAATCATTTAAAAAAACCCATATGAATAGCTGCTTACCTGTATCTGCTTCTTGCATTTGGATGCAGTTTAGCAGAAAAGCTGATTACCTATATCTGGTTTTGTCCTACTATATTCACAAACCCCTCTGCCCGTGACACAATGACATTTATGTATTCTTAGGATCTTACATGCCATAGCAAATTCACTGGAAAAAAACAGAAAATACAAGCATTTCAAAAAACTAAAAATCTGAATTAAGCCAGCACGAAATGAGCAAAGGTATTATATGTAGTTTATATCTAAATACGTCATCTCAAAAGGTGCTATGGTAAAGCTAGTCTGATCCCTTGAGGGACTGGCTTAAAGCAGCATGATCAGAGTGTTTACAAACAGAAAACTCTTTCTTTTGTATTACAGCTTACTATGCAGCAGTTGGACCCACTCCAATACTGGTCAAAGCAGGGAATGCACTTCCCTGAGGTCACAGACATTATGGACAGAGTCTGTCTGGGTTTCCACAGTAAGGAAAGAGTTGCTTTTAAATGTGCTGACAAGGAGAGCAGTTAACAAAGAAAATCAAGAAACCAGATAAGAGAACATATTTTTACACAAAACAATTTGCACAGAATATAATTTGCATTATGCTCAGGATTGTAAACTAGTCATAGAGCTGAAATACATGCATTTTGGTCTTTCCACATCAGATTCCAGCAAAAAATGAGAATTGGGGAATTTATATCTAACCAGAACATAACGATAAACATTCTGACAAAGGTGGCATTGGAAAATTCAATTGTGGTTATGGAGTGTTCACTGGGTAGCATTGAAACAGCACTGCTAGAACACAGGTTTGAGGCTGCACTAAATACTGTTTTTGCCTATCCCTGGTCGTTTAACTCGATGTTTGCCAAAAGGTTGAATGAGGACAACAATACTGCCTTCTTAATGAGATGCAGCTCTCCCTGAGAGGTAGGGAAGATGCTAAATCGGAGAATCATTGTCATGTCTCCATAGCAACAGTGTCACAGAACTCGTACTGCATCCTGTTGTCATGGCAACAGGATCCTACTTAACCCCCTGTATTCAAAACAGTATACAGATCCAAAGATTGGTAACAACCAGGTCATTTCAAGACAATCAGAAGCATTAAGCCTTAAATCAATAAAATGCATATACATTTTTTAAAACATTAAATAGCCAGTATTGGGTACTATGCTATACATCACAATGAAAACTTTTTCATATATTCAACAATGCATGAATTTGGTAGGCATGTCGTCATGCACTAGTGTACCGGGTAAACATTACAAAGAGACTAAGATGTTTCTCAGCACACAAAAGGGAATATAGGCATTTATACAGAAAGATGAGATGGAACCATCAACCATCAAAATGTATTCCAAAGTGACCATTCACACCAATATTGGTATCTAGCCAATTATTAATCTCTACCTCTGCCAGTGTTTTCCTGGGAGAACATTATCCATTGGCTGGAAAAATCTGACCCAGTGAACAGACTGTGAGATCTACTAACTGAAGTCTAATAAAGCACAAAGACAATGATCATTAAAAGGACCCCAACTTCCACCGTTAACTTAATACAACAGTGCTGAATGAAAATGAATTTTGGACCATTTGTTGGGGACACATAGAGCTTTCTTTTCCACTGTTTTCTTTTTGTTTTTTTTTTATATATAAAGAAAAAAGTACCGAACATTTTGAAAAACAAAAACAACTGTTTTTCCTACGGTATGTTATGAAACATTTATTATTACCCAATTTGTAAAATATAAAAGATGGGGTCACGTCGGGTAAATAGACGCCAAACATGTTAAGCCTTTAAATTGTGAGTGCCGCGAAATCGCAAAAAACTACCATACCCAAAATTGTCCATAGGCGACGCTTTAAAAGCTTTTACCGCTCATCAATTTAGTGTTAACAGTGATTGATGGCCCTAAAATTATTGCTTGCACACTGCATTCGTGGTGATATGTAACATGTGCGGCGCACCCGACACGTTTGTGTGTGGTTTTTTTATGTGACTTTAATTATTTAAACTTTTTTGTTTGTTTGTTTGTTTACCGATTAATCGAACGTAATAATCGGCGAACTAATCGATTATGAAAATAATCGTTAGCTGCTGCCCTACAGTTCAATCATCTATGCTGACTGCTGGGTTCTAAACATGAATGGTTAAGTTAAGCCTATGGAGGGGGAACGGGGAAAGCACACTGCAGACACCTTTGACACCAGCTCATCTAGGGAAAAATATTGGTAATCAATGTTTTCCAACTTGTCCAATCAATTATTCTGCCAAAAGGCCTTATCCAGCAGTGTCTGCTAGAACCCAACAGAAAACAGATTACCTCCCAATTTAACCAAATCTAATGTTTATGCCTACTTTATACTTTAACTTTTTTTATGTTCAGGGATAATCAAAAACTTCATGATCAGATCAAATTTTAAAATGTTGGCATGCACTAGTTTACTCAACAATAACATTGTATCCACTTTGCCAAAATGATTTTCACATTGCTTGTTCCAATTTATCACAAGTACAGGGACCCAAATATTCATAAGCGTTGCAATTTCCAGTACAATTGCCTGGAATGACCGATCAGCCTTGGATGATGTTATTGTACAGCAGGTCCATTTCTCAATACATTAAAAAAATTAACTCAAAACTGTTTTTACTCCTGATTTCTTCCCTACTTGCTGCCCAAGTATATAAGAGACAGAGAGTCCCCAATCTGCTGCTTATGAAGCAGTTTTGGGATTTTGAGCTCTGAACCCAGAAATGCATAACAGGTGAGCAGCGGGAGGGAGGGGGCAGCAGCACACAGTGGACCACTGCTGATATGTAGAAGTGATTGGGTGGCTGCACAACTGCATCACTCCTACTTTAAAACTATCAAGCTGCAGTGTCAAAAGAAAACTAATCTGCAGCCACTATTGCAGATGTAGTAAGTATAAGGCCCTACCTAAAACCAACCATTTAAGTTACATCCAGTCGGAGGAGCCTCAAACTTTGCAGTAATGGTGACATTTTCTTGATCAGACAATGAAAATGGCAAAAAAAAAAAAAAAAAAATTAAAAAACCCTAATGCACTGCAATGCAGTAAAATGTAAAAATATTTTCAAGAGCAAACTAAAGCCTGTATTTTTAAAACACATATTAATCCAATTTGTATAAGTCTTACTAGGGGGTAAGTGCCCCCTAGTAATATCTTAATCTGTCTTGAGGGATACCATCTCTAAATCTGTTTTGCTCAGGGCAATTTTAGGCTGGAACAAGTGTGATATTGCATAGAAAAGATGTGGTGTGTTGCGGCTAAAATTATATACAAAGAGAGGGAAGGCTATATATAGGAAGAGAAAAGTAGAACATTCTTAAAATTGCAATGGTTCACGTGTTTTCATACTTATTTCCTCTTTTACTGGGGTTTTGGGTATAAAGGTAGATATAGGAAATATGCTTCTTTAAGACTGCACTCAAATGAGTAATCTCAGAACTATACACGTCATCGTGTACACCTGTACTAAGATTATATACAATATTTTATAATGGGACACTTTTATTTTTAGTAACACACTAAAAATAAAACACTAAGAAGACAAGAAGATGTATTTATGAAAATAAATAAACACAGCAAATCACTACAGCTCTTGGCAAATGGTCAACGGTAAAGCAGGTCACATACAGTGAGAAAAATATAAAATCCAAGGCCAAGACACTTGCCAATATAAAAGCCATAACAAATATCTTGGTAAAAAGCTATAAAACATTCTGAAATGAAATGATAGCATAATATAAGGGTTAAATCTTACACCCATACAATTCCGTTCCTCTCTAATGCTGCCACCCCTAAAATGAACCAGGAAGAAAAGTGCATCACTTGTATAAAACATTAACAAAGGTATGGAATGCTTTTTAACCTGTTAATGCCTAAAAGATATAGATCTATGTCCTAATGTCTGGTGCTAAGGTATAGATCTATGCTCCACATTTAAGATATTTAAAGTGCACATACCCATGGACATGCCACGCTTCCCCACAGGGACATGCACTGCAGCCACAATCACAGTGCTGGCAGCAAAACACGTCAACTCCCAGCTGGCGAGATATTTAGTAGAGGTGCACCGAAATAGAAATTTAAAAACCGAAATAGAAAAAAATTGTCAGGCCGAAACCAATACCGAAAATGTTTTTATTTTAATTTTTTTTATGATTTTATTTTTATTTATTTTTTATAAACTTTTTTATATTTATTTATTCATTTTTTATTAAATATTTTAATTTTTTACTCTACTTTTAGGGGCTTCGGGGAAATATTAGGGGTCTAAACAGACCCCTGATATTTCCCTTTTAAAATAGAAAAAGAGATTGAGAACACAGAGTCCTCAATCTCTTTTTCTGTGTCCCCTGTTATCAATGAACAGGAATCCTCTATGAGTGTTCCTGTTCATTCATAACATGAGAATATAGTATGTTTACTATAACCACAATCATGAATGAACAGGAGGGGATATAGATCACTTCCCATTCATTCATAATTGAGGATATATTAACCATACTATGTCATCAATTATCTACAAACACTCAGCGATCACTGCTCGCACACTGTCACAGGAGGCTGAGTGAGCGGTGCGAGAGCCCAGCCTCCTGTGACAGTGCTGTCTCCGCCCCCACACCACTCTGCCGCACTGTGATAGGCGGCCGAGCGGTGTGGGAGAGACACCGGCCGCTCACAGCGCTCTTGTCCCGCAGCGCTAGGCCGGCTGTCACTTTCTCTCCTCCCCGCTGGGACACAGAGCAGCGCCCAGAGGGGAGGAAAGAAATCACGGCAGGAAAATGGCACTTTCGGCATTTAGCCAAACGTGCAATTTTCGGCCAATATGTTTCGGCGGCCGATATATCGGTGCATCCCTAATATTTAGCAGTTGGAAGAACACCATTTTGCCAGAAAATCCATTTACTTCTGCTCCTGTCAATAGATAGAGAGTAACTGAGCAGTAAAAAAAAGAAAGATCATCTAATGCCTAGCAGTAGACACTCGCTTCATAAAGGCAAAAAATACCCTTGTTCATAAAAGGGATTAAAAAAGGTATTCAATAACCATGAAATTGAATAAAATGGCTTTCATAAACATTGGAGGAAAAAACAGGAGCTTTAGCTAGTGTATCTGATCACACCTTTCATTTCT